CCCCAAAACCCCAAAACCCCAAAACCCCAATAAAAGTGGGCAAAATTGAAAATTGTTATGAAAGGAAGGATTTCAAAAGAAATATTTACTAATATTTCAAGTATTGCTAATGTGCTCCCTTACCTTGACTACCCAGACATGTGCCATCACTTCATGATGGAATTCAGGAAGGAATCCAGACAAATGTGGAAGAAACACATTTACAAATGGAGTAGTTTACTCTCAGCTTACAAAAGAAAGGCATTTTACTTATTCCTAGATTCTCTTCTGCCTGTAACAACAATATCCCCTGAGATATTCCTAAAATATCAGTTTAGAGAGATTTATTCGGTTAGAGATATTGAGACCTTAACCAAGAAGATTAAGCAGTCACTACCAATAGAGATCAGCGAAATCATACTTAGCTATGGATTATTTCATGAGGTTATGGTCACAGAGGAAGATATCGAAGAAACTCCTCAACAAAGTGGATCACAAGTTTACTCTTTCATAGACAAATTGAACCAACTTGTTGATGTGATCAATATGCATCAGAAAAAATTGGGTCTCCAGAAATTGGTATTACAGGATCGCAATTTTACGTCTGGAAGGAATTATACCATATTTAAACTGCCTGAGATTTTCCAAATCCCTCGTGGATCATGGAAATACAAGAATATGCATATATACGATTCTTCAATGAATCTTGATTTAGATGAATCAATAGATAATGTACCTATTGATAAGCTAAATTCTGTGATTGACAGCTGCCATCAGATAAACTCTGAAAAGGGAATTAATACCTTCTTCAATCCACCAAAAAACCAGCGAGTTGCTCACTTTGCATCAAAAGAGGAGATAACCATTGAGTGATGGAATAGTCCTCGAAAGCCTAAATTATTCAACAATGACATTCTACAATGATTAAAGAAGAAATGAGTCAGACTAAAGAGATTTGAGTTTATGTTTAACGAGACTACATTGATTCATAAGTGGAGGCACTCAATTGATCAAATCCAGAAAATATTTCCAAAGATTTATCTTGGGTATGAAGGCCTTGAGCCTGGAGAAGATATTTTATGGCAACTAAGATGCAGAGCATGAACCTTTACAAAAATCCAAGATAACAAAAAGATCATTTACTACCTTGACAATTGAAACATAAATCTCAATAGTAGTAAAGAATTTTATTCTCAAGGTTGAATCAGAATTAAGGATAAGTTTAACTTCTTTGGAAAAATACATGCTACTGAGATCGAAAATAACTCCTCAGAGTCAACCGATGCAGAACAAGAAGTAGATAGCAAAGAGTCTAAATCAAGTGACTTTCATGATGAAAAAGCTATAATTACAGTAAGAGTTGAGGATATTTTGAACCTTGGAATATTATTTCAAGATTTTGAGAAAGATACGAAAAAGCAGTCATTTATGAACCATTTATTAGAAAATGAACATATGAATAAAAGAGCTCTCAGAATGTATGGAGAGCTTTACTTCAACACCTCCTTCCAAACATCCCAGCCTCCAGAATATAAATGAGAAAGTATTTACTTAAAAGCTGCTGAAAAAATGAACCTAAACTCTCTTATCATCACCAAAACTGATTCTCCCTCAGACGCAATAAGGGTGATTGAAGGTATTGTCCAGAAAAGTACTAATTTGCAACAGGTTTGTGTTTCTTTCTGAATAACACCCACAGAAATAAGGAAGTCAATCATTCCCAAAATGATCACTCTAATGAAATCTTGTCCTTACATCTGAAACATCATCTCATGCTTTCCTCTCAACAGACCGGAGGAAAAAGACTTCAAAAAACTATACATCTCCCCTTTCCAGACCCTTGACATCATAATCACTGATCTATTCTAGTCCTAATTTCCCTCAAAAATCCCTTAAAACCCCTTTCTCCCAGTCAAAACTCCTAAATCCTTCATAAATCATCCTTATTGCTCACTTGGCTGAGAAAGGAAAATCAGAGGTCTGAATGGGGTTTAAAGGAAGAAAGGGACTCATTAGGGCTCAAGAGAGGAGGAAGGGCCTAAATTGGGTTTTTAGGGGTTATGAGAGTGCTAGAGGTTGGATTTTGAAATTTTGGGGTAGGATTTTGATGGGTTTGGGTGAAATATTTGGTGATTTTTTAGGGCGAGATTTAGTGGTTTTTTGTATTTTGTTGAATAGCAAATTTTTTACTTTAGTATTAAATTATTTTAACAAAATTTAATTTTAGTTTCAAAACTGAATTAGAACAGAAGAATTTGTGCAAATTCTGTTGTTAAAATCATCATACTTTAATTATAAATGTAGGAGGAACCTTCACAAAATAATTAATCTCCAGCATCCTCATACAAAGTATTTAAATAAAAATCATAAATTTGCCATCTCAAGTTACCAAATTAACTGAGAATAAACAACAAAATTAATTAAGAAATAAGATTTTCTGTCCACAACTTTAATGCTTAACAGATATATAAAAACAACCAAAATACCCTCTAAACTCCCCAACCTTAAATCCAACTGCCCCATTCATCCACTCCCCATTCCCAAAGATCTCTACCCAAAACCCAATCTCACCACAATCTATCCCCTATAACCCCTTAATCCTTCTATCCCTTCATTGGGGTTTTGGGGTTTTGGGGTTTTGGGGTTTTGGGG